TGTCGCCACCTCCGCCTCCCCTCCTCTCTCTCTCTCTCTCTCTCTCTCTCTTCCTATTCTTAACCCTCCCCACCCCGATATCTTTCATACGCTCTTCTTTTTCAGGATCTCTTTTATACGAATGCATCGACATTAATGGATATTCGACAGGTCGAATTTATTTAATTTCAATGCGATCGATTTTCAAACGCGCGATCAAAGAAGCGATAGTAACGATATAATCCGAGGGCAGGAAAATAATCGAACATCTTTCTAAAAGAAAAATCACCTCGATGCACTTGATAATTCACCGATTGTGACGTTATCCGCCTAACAGCTATTGTAAATGTTGGCTCACCGTGTGTGTATATATACGTTATAATTTCGATATGCTTGTTACGACGAACAATCGTTTATAACGTTCCAAATCAAGGTAACCGCGATCTTTATTCTCTGAATTAATCGATACGAATCATAAAACTGTACATCATCGTGACAAAAGCTTCGAAGATCATCCTGTATTCGCGATTAAAATGTTAATACGTGGAAATTATTGGATTATAATTCTAGCTTAATTAATAATAAATATGTTTATATTGGAAACAGATGGATCAATTAATTGGATTAAAATATTTTGTTTCATTTAGTGACACGATTGTGAAGGATTTTATAATAAAAAAAAAAAAAGTGAAACGTGAAAGGTGATAAGAATAGGATGCAGATATATATTCATAATTATCGTACATAAATCGAACGATAAATTGTAATTCTATGAAATTAATTTCGTTCGTTACACGAATACTTTCCACGCCTACAAAACGCTCGTTTCACCCTCGACTTTGTATACCAAAATCACCGATATTTACCAGATACTGTATCGATTGAAATATACAACATAGCGTGTGTGTGTGTGTGTGTGCACAGGAATCGTCTGAAACGGTGTTTATGTCACCAGGGTCGGTAACCAAATAAGAGCGAACCTATTTTCCCGCTTTTTCTTCCGTTCACCGGGAATACCACCCTCCACCCTCTCGACCGGATCAATATTTGGCCGCGACTAACGACGATTAAACCTGTTAACAAAACGGAAATAAACATTCGACGAATTCGGTCCATCGAACGCCGGTAAATAATTCGTTAAACGTGTATCCCCGTCACGGTTAATCTAGCTCTAGCGATGGCTTCGAGAGAAAATCTCGTTTACTTTCAACACCGAGGAGAGAGTAATTTTAAATAATTATTAAACAGATTTTCGATAATATCGCTCGTATTCAATTCATTATATCGATTTCGAATTAACGTTGTATCGCGAGTAGAAATAAACGAATACTTCTAGATAGATTTTTTAAAACTCAGGTTAGAGATTAATTTACGAGGATTTTTTTTCTGATAAGAATTGTATAATTTATAAATAACAGTACGTAACGTTCAGTGTGTTTATAAATGAAAAATTCCATCTTTTAATTCTATATATTATACTATAGTATAAATAACACGATCGTATTCTCGAGAGAATACGTATGAAATTATGGTTATAGAGTTTCTACTTTATCTACATCTACGCTAATAACTCGTATTTATTACAGTTCGTTCTACTTTATCTCGATATATCATCTTATTTGCGTTTCTTGTCGCACTGTAGATGCGAAAAACAAACGCGAAAGTCCATATAGAGAAAATACGAGACTTACTTTTACTAATTAGCAACAGTCTCACTTTGTTTCTCGTGTAAATTTAACCAACTAGGGAATCCATATATATATATATATCTAAACATATTGTACACGGATGAACAAAAATCAATATCTTAATCTGACCGGCAAAAACACTTACGCATTCTTAATAACCGGAAAATCAAAAGGCAAAAATCAAGATTTGGACTCGATCCACTATTTCTATCTATTAAATTTCTTACTAACTTAATAACAACAAACAACGTCTCTTGATTCTCCAAAGATGTCACGAACAGTACTGCTGAAAAGAAGTCTCGCGGGCGGGCACAGGAGCAAGAGGGGTCCATCGTTAGGACCGCCTATCCCCACTTTAGACGCTTTGTTGACAATCCTGACCCCACACACTACATAGAAGAGCTATAATTTGATATTTTCAAAATAGTAAATTATATTATTCGTACATATATATAATTATTATCTTAACTACTTGAATACGAAATTACATTTAGAAATTTAAACAAATCGTTACAAATCGCAATTAGTCTACATATTATATTATGAGAAATAAAAAAAATTTTTACATCATATCGATACTTTGGATTCTGTGCCTACGCTATGATGAGTTTTACGTACAAATCGTCGCTCAATCTGTCACAATCGGATTAATATATCTATCTCGTGACAAACTCACGCTAGAAACGAAAATGCGCGTGAAAATAAATGTTTCCCTCTACACGTTACACACGAGCGAACCAATTATACCGATAGTCGGTAACGAAACACGATCCCCACGTTTACATCGAAGCCATCCTAATTCTCTCTGGACGTAATTTGAACGGCAGGTTAAACGCGGCAGGTCGCGAGATTCGTAGGGAGCGGCGGTTGCGTTTAATCAAGCACGGATACAGATGGTTGTAATTGCGTACTTACTCCGATCTCCCCGTAATCCGGCCGATCGGGCGCAGCCGGCAGTCGATGCCCGCTCCTGTGACCTCCTAGGGCCCCGCTCCCACCTACGCCCATGCCACGCCTCTCGTCGATCAGGAATATCTCCGTGAGGACGATCACGGCGAACACGCCGAAGAACATGACCACGAGCATGAACGACAAGTTGGCCCTTTCCTTCATAACGCCAGCGTTCCCCCGGCTCCCCCCTGCGCCGCTCCTCCGGGAACCCATCCTCCGATGCTTCTGTTCCAAACGGTAGACAAAACACACGCTCGTCAAATATTTTTCGTCTTTTACAGATCTTGCTTGGGAGAGTTTTTCGTTTGTTATTCGGATTGAAATGTCGCGAGGATAAAGTTATGAGGTGAAATCAGGTGAAATCCGTTCGAGTGGAGGGGAGATTTAGGAATGGATACATAGAGAAGACGACGTAAGTAAACGTTTCGAATATAACTTTATTCGATTCGCGGCTTAAAGAGAATTTATATTGTGCAAGAGAATACCGAGGTTATTTGTAGGTCAGCGGTGTTGACGAATTGACGCGCTTTCGTTCGGACAACTTATTTATTCTCCAAAGTTTCTGTTAGAAAAACAACTGAGTAGAGAAACGAGAAAGATTATTTTATACGATAGAGACGATATTTTTAATTGATATTGCTCCCGAGTGTTTTGATCTTTTTATAAACCAAGCTGGAAGAATTATTGATTCTACTTGGCAAAACGTGTCGGGAATGTTCAAATATTCCATCACTCTATAAAACGCGCGTGTTTAAAAAATGCAAAAAACACAACGCGCAAAAAAAAAAAAAATCGAATATTTCCAAGGATATCTTCGTATTTCGTCGAAAAATTATTATTTTAATTTTACAAAAAAAGAAACTCTACGATTGTTAAATATATATACACGTATTATTATTTCACGCGTAATCCCTTTCAAGCGTTAATTCCTTCTCCGTGAATAACGCGCGCGAATAAAAATGTAATTCTTTTCCCAGACGAGTATTAAAAACTTTTAACCATGCCCCACAAAAATTTTCAAACGAAATTATTGCTTCGAAAAAAATATATACCGTTCGATAATAACCAAACAATCGGTTTCATTATTAAAAACCAAATCCCCCTCTTATTAATAATCGATCAATGAAGGAGAAAGAGAAAATATTCGAGTAACTTGCAATGGAATTATTCTAAAATTCCATTTTCCACGTTTACCACCGGATACGTGTAAGAGAGTTGGTAATAGAACGTACGTGGTCTTTAAACTTGGTACGGACTTTATGCGGAACGTTATTCAAATTCACCGAATAATTCATGGCAACGTGAATTAACATTCTTAGTTTGAATTTATCGTTATATTATCGGTAAGTAATGTTTAAATATTATTTATTGCCTCGTAAATTTTATCCACGATGATGCACGGATACAATATTAAATCGTAATAAAAACGATATGCGAGGTGAAACATATTATTATTACCATTATTATGGAATTTTAAATAAATTTTAATGCGCGAATTAATCGTAAAAATTTTATTCGTCCCGAAAAAAATGTATAAAACGTCTTCTCGAGATTAATTTTCGAAAGTTCACGAACAAACGAAACTGATCCTTTAATTCGAAAATGAAATTAAGAAAGCTGAAACAGCGTAAAAGTGAACGGTTGGTGCGAAATTGACGCGGATTCCGACGCGGAAATTATCCTTCTGCTATCTTTAAATTCTCCTCGATTAAAAAATCGTATCAGCTAGAATTATTACTCTTGAAACGACGATAATAAGAAATTAACGATACGGCCAAGTTTGTTAAAGTCGAGAGATTACACGGCGCGTTCCTGGAACTCAAAAACCGTGTTAAAACGTGGCATTAACCCGGTAGTACTCGAAAGTTAGAGAATCTTGCGAGAAGTTAGAGCGGTAAATGAACGCTACGCGGGAATTTCGTAATTCGGTGGAGGAGGAGGAGGAGGAGGGGATGGAGATAAGATGGCGGAGGGAGTCTTTCCATTCATTACGCATTAAATTCCACCCTTCGCTGCTGACAAAAGTTACGATCGAAGATTAAGCTAGTTTAGAACCTTAAAATTTTTTTTTTTTTTTTTTTTTCCCCTCTTCGAGAAATCCGATTTATCGATTTACCTTTCGATCGATAATTCGATGTATACGAATGTTATTAGAGGCTACAATTAGAGGGAGAAAAGTGGTTCGAAATGCAAGAATAAAGAAAAACGATGAAATTGAACGAGGAAAATGGGATCTTTGAGAGGTTAGGAAAAAAGAAAATTCGCAAGTTTGAACGAAATAATCTTTCGTAAAATAGGGATTTTCGCTATAAGGTGTTCTCGTAATTGACGTTGCAATTAGGGAAAAAGTAATTTTAAATACGAGTCGGAAATAATTGGGAAAAGGGGTTTACGGCTTCGCCTAACCCTTTATCGTAAATCATTTGAATTAACCTCCATGCAAACCTAACATGCAAAGCGTCCAATTAACCCGTGTCGCAATTAGAGAGAGGAGGGAAAACAATTTCTACGAAAGAATATGTTATAAAAAAAGGAAAAACTTCCCGGTTTCGTAATGGAAAAAAAAAAATATAAAATCGAGCATAAATTTAGAGTGAAACTTGTTATATTTATATCTATCGGGAATAAAAATCAATTGGAACGAGGAGGGGAAAGCTGAGCCCTTATCGAGGTTGAACGCAGGGAATCGGCCACGAAATCCCTTATTAATCTCGAGTTGTTCGATTAATTAAGTCGGGTCGTCGGCCATTTTTGCCTTCGATTCGAACGTGGAAAAAAATTGCTTCCCGATAAGAATCGTTCGATTTTTCACAGATTTCAACTTAATATCCATTTTTTCATCTCGATTTCATTCGATTTGGAATTTTTTTTCAATCAAATATATCGCGTCCCTGTTATTCTGTCGGGAAAGTTTCTGAGCTGATTTCACAGAGGAAGAGAGAGAGAGAGAGAGAGAGCACGATAGAAAATGAAATTCGCCGGTTGTTCATAGTTCAGTGAAGTATTTCGTGGAAAGAAAAAAAAAAAAAAAAAAAAAAAGAAAAAAAAAGAAACTACTAGGAACAAA